ACCATTTTGAAGGCCTTTCGGTTGAATAAGACAAAAAGTCATAGCTTTTAGGAGTTTATGTATCTGAGAGCGCTGCGTCTCCTAGTCACTGGAATACAACCAGTGCCTTTGCATGCTGTTTTGCTGTTTGGCACAGTGTGGCAGGGCAGTAGGGTGGGCTGGGCAGGCAGGGGAAGGCAACAGCTAAGTCAAAGCTCATTTTTCAGACCATCTCAGGAATTTCCTTCCAATGTCTGAAAGCTAATGGCCAGTTGAGATGAATCTTGGCATCCCAAGAATTTTGCACAGTTACATAAAGGTTTCTGCACAAGGAACGGAGGAGGATGTTATTTTTGTTCAAAGCATAATGCACAATGCAGAATGTAAAGCTGTCATAGAGAACGAGATGAGAACATGGTTTTAAGTCTTACATCCACCTGTGTTATAGAGAAGTGTGTACATATGCGTGTATACTTACCCACATGTGTATCTGTACATGTATTCACCTCTAACTGTGTAATATTTTTTAAAAATATCCAATATTATATAGCTGCAGGCTAGGATTTAAAGAAAACATCTGAGAAAAATAAAAGTAATTGAAGGCTACATCTTGATTTCTTACTTTTCATGATTTGCTTTTAATTTGATTCCATTTCATTATTTTTCCTGACCTTCTTCTTTTGAAGGATCATCTTTTAACTTGGTAAGATAGACCTATGTAAGATTCACAAATTACTTTTATCACATAGCCAGTGAGGGGACAAGCATATATTTACAAGGCAGACATTAAGAGGATATAAGACGTCTTACAGGTAAGAATACATGCAGTATTGTAAGAGAGAAGTGCTAGCTGACAACTCTAGCTCTAAACAACAAATCAAACTGGAACAACACATAATACACTGAAGTCCTGCAGAGTACTGTGCTTGCAGTGAGTTATGAGTGCTATCCTTTAGCAGCAATTGGTTTCAGATTGTTTGGTCAGGACTACTGGTGAAAACTGAACGCCAACATTAGAAAGTAGGAAGCTAAGCAAAAAATCAGGTCCTTGGGATCCAAGCAAAATGAGCTTAGGTGGCTTGCTGTGGAGAGAGTGCTGAAAGCCAGCCTGCCAGCTCTCTTTCTTTCTCACTCTCTCTCTCACTTGTGGACTGATGTGTCTGGCTACAACTCAGATGTGTTGATAGCCAGAGAGGGGGTAAGGTCTCTACAAATCTTCTTGGTTACATGGCATTAAAATGTACATTCATGAAAAGCCTGGGTGGAAAGGACAATACTTTTGTGTCAGGTCAACCTCATCCAAATGCTTTTGTTGTTAAGTATTCTCAAATCTTTGATTATTGAACTCTGTACTAGTTAGAAGTGAACAATCTGTTCTAGACCTTTGTCAAGCAGCTTAGATTTTTTACACCATAAAGCAATTGCACTGTATTTTTCCCTATGCATTTCCCTAGTAAATGCAGATTGTGTGCATCTTATGGGAAAAGACTGCCAAAAATTACTGCTTTGTTAATTTTTAGTTGCACTCAAACTAGAAAGCAGAGTTATGTATTATAGGTCAGAATCTTTGTAGATAATTCAACATACTGTTAAATAAGAAAAGGCCCAATATGTCTTATTCCTGCTTTTGACATGCTAAGTCACCGCATCAAAGATAGGTCCTGAATGTGGATGGAGTTCTGTGTAGCAATCTTATACATTTAGGGTAGGACTAAATGTTAAAGGATTCTTCTTTTGTAGGAAAAAGTAGGGAATTTACCACTACCAAAAAAAAAATTAGAGAATGCAGATGATGATAGTGGATCCAAAAGTATTTTGCAACACTTGGTTGAAATTACTGACATTAGAAGAAAGCAAATGGGGCTGATGGTCTGGTTGTAGACTGTGTGAGGTTAAGTGAAGGCAAGAGAGATCTGCAAATGGCATTATAAATTGAAGCATTTTATTTGATTCAGGTTTTGAACTGCATTCCAGATTTTCTGGCTAACATGTCTCTTTTAATTCCACATGACTGCCCGATACCTGTCTTACCTTAAAACTAAAGGCAAAAGTCCGTATTTTCATACTGCATTTCCTGGAATAGCAGCATTGGAAAGTACTAATGCAGGCAAATACCTAATATTTTACAGTAAGTTTAATGAACAAGAAGGCAGGAAATACAGAGTAAAAGCAGTTTCTCAGATATGTTTTCTTCTGGAATATGATTACTGAACATGTGTTTTCTTTCAAAACACCAGAGGAAGTGGAGCATTTCTGTTTTCACTTCTTGTGTCTTTGACCCCCTGAGTGCAAGGATTCATTTTTAACATTGTGATTGAAGTTTCAATTGCATTTCCAGGTTATTAAACAGGAAACATGGCTTGTTCATTGTATTAGCATGATATCATCTTGTTTAGGTAAAGAGGTGTGACTGGATGTAAACATCTTTCTTGACTAATAAAGATTAATTTAACACTCACAATGGGGAAGAGAGTGAAAGCCCAGCACATGCAGGCTGTCCATGTGAGGGGCTGAGGACTATATTACATTGCTAAGTATTGGAATCAGCACTTGTGTCTCAAGAGCAGTTAGATTAAGATAGGGTTCCACAGTGGTAGGAAAAGAAAAAAAGAATACAGAGTAATATTTCCTCCAAATGGGGCTGAGCTAAGTGCACAGACAAGTAGATTCCCCCATATCTGTACCCACAGCAGGACCTCAAGAGGGGCCATGCTGAGAGGAGACCTCTCCTCGGATTAGGTCAGCCTTCCGGATATGTAGAGAACTGGAATGGATATGTAGTGGAATCTGGCTGCCTCAAAAGGATAGTATTCACAGAAGGACTTCTGTGGTTGCTTTCCATATTGTTTTAAAAAGATATGGCTGAATTGCAAAAGATATGCAAAAAAACTTCTTATTGAATGTTACTAGGAAGTCAGACGCTGATGAGAACACATGGAGAGAGTTGTGACTTTAAGATTGGTTCTCTAGTAAGAAAAGTAATTTGGGATGTAATGAATGGAATGGCATGAAGAGAAAGTGAGCAGAGCTTGAGCTAGCAATCTTAACTTTGCCCCACTTTCTCAAGATGATAAAGGAGGAGTAGACTAGAGGAGCCATCAGGTAGAAGGGCTAACTCTTTTTCACCAGTGTCCAAGCCCTGTAGTACACAACTCTGTAAGGGGACTATCAAGGGTTATAATCACACACGGGGGAAGAAGATTTCCCAGTACAACATTCATTATCAATCCTTTTCAGCATTCCACCATTTATACCTACTCTTGGTTCCCTTGCTAGGGGCTTGCACTCAGCAGCCAATGCAGTGCACACCAAATGTTGTAGCACATGCTTCTAAGCAACAAGGTGCTAACATGGATATAGCCAATCTGGTTAAAATGTACAAACACAACACTGCTTTCAAGAAATAAAAGTCTGCTAAGTTAAACTCTACTATTACAGAACCTCTAAGGAGTAAAACTAATTCAAATAAAATTTCTTTGCCAAAAAAGACAACACGTGGCCTTTCTTGGGCAGCTTTCAAATTTCAAACTAGTTGATCATCATAGTTAATAGCATTCTAAATGCTGTCAGTCTTCTATGTTTTCAGGGGCCATTGTAGTTTTTGTCATTGCTGTTGTTGGGATGAGTTTTCAGCTGTATAGGATAACACTAGACATTATATCCTACTTCAGTTTAGACTGACACGGATTTTCAGTTAGCAGTCAGTTTTATGACCAAAACAGACAAATAAGCAGTTTTGATTACATATGTTTTATATTTATGATATACTAATGCTATCAAGTTTGATTCTCTCTGGTGTATAAGGGGTATAAATAGGCCACTAAGTGATTCTTTGTTTGAGATATAAGTGAACAGACATAGAAAGGAAGTACCATTTCTACCGTCCAGTATTTATTACCTGAGATTGCTTGTGAGACTGCAAGAAAAGAAAGATTCACTAAAGATTAGTCAAATTACTTTTGTTTATAATGTATCATTTGTGTTCAGATCTTCATAAATTAAGGATTTCTGATCAAGTCTGTGGATTGCACCTATCTTACCAAGTCATTTATAGCACAAAGGTGCATTCACTTCTTTTGTCTTTGTGAGATAAATCTTTACTGCACTCAAGCAAAAACTATTGGTTGTTCAGACAACCTTGATCCTGGCTTGCACACTAGTTCAAATCTGTTGAGTCAATCAGCTCATCACCTAGGGAAATTCTAACTTCAGGTTTTGTTTCATATGTTGGAAATGTTGGTGGATTTTTTCTTTGTTCATCTCTTCCATTTACTTTTCCACCCAATTCCTACTCATTCTTACTCTTCCCCCCCCCCCCCAACTTAGAACATTCACTTAATTCTGAACCATGCAAGGTCTCCATAGTCTGAATTTTTTAACCCTTACTAATTTCTGTTATTGCTATATTCCATTTCATCCAGACTTAAGCACATACTAATGACATAGTCACGATTTAGAATAAAAAACAGCATTGAAATTGACATAGTTTTACATGTAATGAGATTTTAGAGTGTTAATTTGAACCACATCCCTCAAAACCTGAACCTTATTTTTCTGTGGCCCATTTCCTCCAAGCTGGTCAGGTGGTATGAAGTGCATCTGAATGTTTTTGGGAATTACATGCAGAGATGGGCAGAATATATTACTGCAAAAGGACAGTGCATAGCAACACAATGCAATATTTTACCATTGCTGTTAATATTTACTCCAAACATGTACAGAGGCTTCAGATTTCAAAATAACTTATGCAGTAAGTAAAAGGATGTGAACCTGTGCTACTAATGAATGGCACAGAGAAATAGGGCTCAAATACAATACGCATTGCAGAAAACAGCCTTGAAATAATACTAAGGCTATGACTAGTAGACAAAAGCCATACATGTGAAAATAAAGCCAGGATTTTGTTCTTATCCTAGAATTCAGTAAAAAAAATTATTCTTCCTCCTTTTTTAGCACAGTCTAGAAATTTAAAAGATATGTTTAAGTCAGATTTAAACATAAAATATTTAATCTCAAATATCTCAACTGTTAATACTCCAAAATAAGTACATTTCCTAAATTTTTTCTTACTATAACATATTTAAATTATCACTATGAAAATAATGCCCTCTAGTTTTCCATACTCATGCTTTTTAATTCTGACTCTTTTCTAATTAAATAACAGAAAACCACATCTTGGGCTAACACTTTTTGTACTACAATATGTAGCACAGGCATATGTTAGTAACTGAAAATGACTCTCCTAAAATCAGTAGATTAAACAGTGAACTTTAAATGTATTCAGTGATCTTTTTATGTAGACTTTTACTGACTCCTTTAATATGGCAAAGACAATGACTGATACAGAATGCAGTGATAGATAGTAGTACCTAAATCTAAGTTCACATGTAAAAGCAGAGGAAAAACTAATGAAAAAAATCATTTTACTACACAATGACATCATCTGAAAGCCTAATTTCTTTGGCAACAATTCATACACCTAATAATTGTTGTCAGACATAAATCCAAAAAAAAAAAAAACCTGATAAATTTTTCTGTATGCTGTATAGCAAATTTATTATTTTACACTTGAAACTGCAGATAGTTCATCAGCTGTTACATATTGTCTTAGCTCTACTGAAAGCAAAGCCAGTTTCTGCCATCAGAGGATCTGCCTCTTTGATAACTTCATATAAATGTATATGTATTGAATTTTTAATGCTAACATTTTAAACAGATTCCATAACCTTTTGCATAGCATAAGGACTGATGGGTAACTTTACCATATTTCATAACAGTCTACAGCACAGAAGGAATAGATTTACTGCCATTTACTCTCCATCCATGCTCCTGGTCTAATAAAAACATTACCACTCCCTACAGCCTTGCCATAGCTTCTTTCTGAATGGCCTTTCAGAGAGACACTTGAAAGTATTAAATGGTGAGACATCTCTAGAACTATTAAAAATTAGCTGAGAAAATGGTTATATTAAGAAGTGTACAAACTATGAAAAATTGAAGGTGTTTATATATATAAATATCAAACAAACTTCTGAAAGTATCTTACTTACCATATAGTTCACTGGCCTGATTCTTCCTTTATTCATACTTGAAATAACAAATAAATTTGTATGAATTCACAGTTTTAAAATAGAAAAAATATTCCAGATACCACAAGTGAGAATAAAACAAAATTTTTCTGAAGGATTAGCAGCAAAGAGTGAAACGGTTCATTTTGTTTTTCTCTTTACTGCATACCTATATGGACTTTTAAATTCCCTACAGTAGTTGTTGCCTTCTCAGTCAATATGGGGTGTAGTTGGTGATCTTTACTTTAGATTGAAATTGCATGAAAATGTTTACTAAAATTTGTTGCCACAAGTTTTTACCACCTATGCACAGCTGCAGAAGATCAGTGTTCTCAGTGTAGAGTTTCCTGATAAATGCTGCATGCATCGATACATTAATGTTCTCTGCACCAATACTGCTAAGTAATTGACTTGCACGTCTGTACATTACAAAAGCTCACAATGCCGTGGCCAAATTTAGCATGTGTTTTTTTAAATAGTGTAACTGCTTTAATTTTAAATATCTGGTAATCAGTATGTTTTTTACCTTCCTGGATATGTCACCGAAACTGTTTTAAGAGGTAGCTTTGCAGTTCAAAGTTAAATGGTTTTGAACATTAATGTATGCAAGCAAACAAAAGTGAAATTTAAATTTTCATACAGAGGTTTCTAAATCTCTGCTACTCCAAAGTATCTTTTGAGTTTAATTTCTGACATTTGAGCGCTCTACTCTGTGTTGAGAATCTGAAGCCTTTGCACCATTGGTCAGGAGAGTTGACATTTGTACAAAGAAGGAAATAAATAGTAAATGTTTGTCCCAGTTACATCAACAACTGTGTTCTTGTGTCAGGAAGCCGAAGTCCTACCAAACCTCCACATACCAGAACAGTAGAAGCAAGGAGAATAGGGATTGCTTTGGTGATACCAACAAGGGAACCGAATATTAGGTTTCCAAGTACAGCTGCAGCTTTGCATAGTGCATTCAAAAAGCCAAAGCCTGTTGCCCTAGAAGAGAAAACAGAAGAAAATTTAAAAAAAATGGGTGAAAGAGTAAAGCTTTTGAGATAAATCCTCAGTGTGAATAAATCAGTACAGCCCCAATATCTTACACAGTCTATGCCAATAATGATTCTGTGCTTGTATTTATATCGAAATCTATTTATAATGTGAAATCAAAGCTCAGCTGCTACAGTACTTGGTTGACGCAAACGCATTTTGCTGCCCCAGGGACCAAAATGTGAAACCAATGACAGAACAGGTGAGTTTGAAGCTCTACAGCAGAACAGGGGACTTGCAAATGGAAATTCAGTAAGAGTTAAAAGGCTTGATTAGGAGAGAACAGATGCGTTGAGCAGCTCTCAAAAGTGAACTGCTTGGGGATCTGAGAAAGAAGTCATCAGAATTAAAGGATGATCAGCTTTAAAAAAAATAAAAAATAAAAATTAATTTCTGACAAGCGGTACACATGTCGAACCAATGCTTTTTTAAAAGGCTAATGACATCTCCAATAATAATGGATGTTTATCTCTTAGAGGTAAAGAAGACAGGACATATAAAAACCTGTTCGGTGCAAAAGAGATATCTGAGAAACTTTGGAGGAAAGGGAAAGGAAATAGATTGCCAACACAAAGTATGACATAAGCAATTCAAGTGGGCTTTTGTATTGCAGCGGTGTGATTACAGTAGTCTGAAATAAAGTGTTTTAATTGTTTGGTGGTTCATGCATAGATGTATTATGCAAATTGCTATCATTTTCATAAATTGTGTTTTGACATGACCATATGATTCATAGATGCAGGAATAAAGTCCCCCCCTCCAAAAGTGTCCTTAGAAAAGTGCCTGTATGAGGGTAGAATCTCTTGTCTCTTGCAAACCACATCACTATTTTAATCTCTTTAAAATACCTCATATTTAGCAAAGAAATTACTAATTTGTCTGAAATAAGCACCATTCCTCATTGTGTAAAACATGACATCCATCCAGATGTTGCATGACAATAAGTATTGATGATATCTGAAGAAGAAGAAACAGGTCACTGCAATGGTATTATCTTGTACATAGTAATTTTGAAAATGACATGTTCTGACCCTCAACAGTCCCTGAGGGCTGCCAGAGAGAGCAGCAGATGAGCATATTTTTGAAGTGTTTCTTGTGAAGATTTCTGACAGAAGAACACTTGCAGCAGCTCCTTGCAAATACCTTTCTCAGAGAAGGAATAAGTTAAAACTTGCCCATTTTAAGCACGACCTTTGGAGGAACTGGTCTGAAGCAGGAGCATGAGATACACTGTGGGAAGCAGCAAACACCCATGCTATTAGAGAAATCTTCCAAAGCCTGTGAGAAGACAATCAAATCTCTAGTGCAGAAACATTTGCACTACAAGGGAGATAAAGTCCAGAATATCTGGAGGAAGCTGACACAGGATGGTGGGTAGCTACTGGGGGGGAAGGAACTCCAGACTGACACATCTTCTAGGGCTCACATAATCACAGAATAGGTAAGGTTGAAAGGGACCACAGTGGGTCATCTGGTTCAACCTCCCTGCCTAGAGGGGTCATCCTAGTCCAGCAGGTTGAACTTGTCCAGGGACCTATTCTTTCCAGGTGTGAGACCCTACATTTGGCTCTGTTGAATTTCAGCCCGTTCTTCTGCCCATCTCTCCAACCTGTTGAGGTCCTTCTGAAGGGCTGCACAGAGCAAGCAGGTAGGAAGGAGTATCATGAAGAGGAAAGGCTGAGTTAAAACAGACTGTATCACAAGCAGGTAGAAAGAGGTTAAAGAGAACACAATTGGATTGGAAAACTGAGTTTATGTGATAGGATACCAACAGATTGCACCTATTCTGAAGAAGTCAGGGAAAAAAGAAGAAAAGAGTCAGAATGGTTCTAATTTCAGACTCATATTATGAGTCATTTATGCACAGAAAGTATTTCAAAACTTATGGTGGTGACTGGTTGTGATTACTATCCACACATGTAAATATGACTTCTTCAGTTGCCAGTGCTGATGTAAAATCAAACTTGCCCCCAAATAACAGTAACAGAAAAAAAACCCCTAACAGTGATCACATAGAGAAATTAGACACCTAGTTGTCAGAAGCCTCAGTATATTCAGAGAGACACCAGAACTCCCCAAAGAATACATAGATCCATCTAATGCAAATCTGGATAGATACAGGCAGGAAATCTTTGGAAAAACAATAGCACAAAACATATGGGGATGCTTTACTTATATTTAGTGGTTTTTTATACTATCTTATAAAGGTAAGCTGTTTCACAGATGTTAGCTGCTTATAACAACTAGTTATAACAGGGGTCTGAATATGCTTTTCTGAGCAATTTGAACCATTTCTTTTCATGTGCTGGGCTCCACAGATGCCCCTGTGATTTAGATCTATTATGGATTATATACCCCAAATTACCTTACTAAGGCTTAAAGTAATTTTGTGTAATATTTGTTCAACACCTCTTGTGTCTGAGCAAAATTAAGGTAATCTTTTGGAACTGAAAAAACAGCTCAGTTTGTAAAATGGACTTACAGAATTTTGCCAATTGGAAGGAGTCATTGTCAATCTAATCCCATTAGTGCTATCAAACTGTAAACAAATAAAGGTAAGACAAAATAAGCCCATTTTCATTGCCCTTGGCTGTCCTGATGATACAAAATGAACACAGCAGAAGTTCAATATTTTAATCTTTAAGCTGATTTCAGGCATGTCCTTTTGCCTAAAATAAGCACATCGTTGGCATGAACAATAAGATTTTTACAGGCTTAAACAAAATTTGTTAAGACCTGTACCTGAAAAGTACACACAAACTTCTACCTTCCTACCTTTCAATTTTAATACTGCGTTTGAATGTGAATTTATTGTGTACTTGTAGTCAGAACAAAGTGTTCAAGCAATTGTTGAGCTCTAGGGATAGCAAATTCAGTTTCCTTGGTTGTTTAAACATCTTTCTTAGAACAGGGTTCATGATTCAAATTGGTTAAAATCTTTATTAATTCATGCCTCTATAATTATTCTACTCAATCCAGTGGAGTAGAAATAGCCAGAAAATCAATATGCTGTAATATATCACATAAATATATGACCATAGTCGTCTCTCGCAGCATTAGTACAGTCCACTACAATGTTTCATGAAAGTGCTAGAGTGTCTGTAAATGATCAAAGATATGTAATGTGTCATCTCAGCATCATGGACCAATTAAAAGAAAATTCCAAGAGCATAGGGCTATTTGTATATGTACCAATTTTCTTTCTGTTGATCAGTTACTGGGCAAACACTTAATACAAAAGTGTAATTTTGACTCCACGAATAGTCATTATAACTATACAAGGGAGACCAGTGGCAAGAATCCCTTATCCAGCAAGAGAATGCCCTTAAACTCTTCAGGGACATCAACAAGAAAATGGTAGTGAATCAATTTGAGATTGTCTTTAAAACGTAAACAAACAAATAAACAAAAAACAGGTGCAGATTTTAGTATTGGTACAAGAAAATGCAGAAGTCTTTTATAAAAATGTCAGTGCTGAGAGAAAGCTGGATGTTACTGAAAAGGAATTTTTCCTAGTGTATTTCACTTGTGCTGCTGAGAAAGCTGTGACAAAGAAAAATGGTTAACTTCCTTTCACCCAAGCCCCACACAAAAATGGCAAGAGTCCAAACAGTTAAAAATGGAGGGATTATCCAAGCCTTTAGATTAAAAGAGCGTGTTTCCGGATTGCCACATATGCTCCTTCTTAGACCAGGTGCTTATATTCCTACATAAAATAGTTCAGATCCACTTTTCCGTTGCAGACTTCACTGTCTTGGAGTGCTACTGAATGTGTAGCAAAAATATCTATTAACTTTCTTGCCAGAGCTAATGCTGAGACTATCCAACAAGTTACAAGAAAACATTTGTGTATCACTTTTCTTGGAGCTGATAATATGTAAAGTATTAAAAAGAGATTCAGAATGTTCTATGAACAAATTTCCATCTATTTCCAGATATTTCATATTCTTTTAGAAAAAGAGTACCAAAATGCTTATCATAGCCTGACCAATCATAGTGCTTAGTGTACAAGTAATACTGTGGAATTTGCCTTCCTGTCCTGGACTACTGCCTGAAGCATTCTGTAGTTTTGGCACGTCATACCTTAAAAATATTAACACGAAATTTCAGCAAAATGCAGTTGAACCACATCCACAGGATGGCAGTAGAAAATAGCTGTCAGGAAATCTACTGTAAGTTGATGACTGCTGTTAAGACTCTTCTGCAGCCACAACAATACAAATTGGATCCTGGGAATAATATTTACTATTCTGGGGATAGATCGTCAGGTATCAAGAAGAAGTGAAAAAATTAAATATAACATACTGAAGAGCAGAGACTTATTTCTTAATTATGACCAAACATTTATAAACTTATTTCAGAGGTAGTAAAAAAAGGCAAAAGAGAATGATTTCATTTTATAGCACACCTTGACTTCTAAATAAATATTCCTGGACAAGATCCAAACCCAGATGTCTGGAAGCTGTAGTAAAATGATGAATTGATGCTTATCTGATGCAATCTGACCTTGATTTACTCTGTGGGAGATGATCTATTGCTATTCCACTTTCTGTTTAGGTTTTGGTTATTTGTTGTATGAACTTCTTAATGAGAATCTTGGTTTTTACAGGTGGTGCTTCCCAAGTTAGTTCATGAGAAGATACTTACCATTTATGTGAAAGCAACAATCGCATTTTGAATTCATAAAAATATCCTCATGTTCCTTCTTCAGAGAACTTTAACTCTATTCAATTCATATTTATGCTACAGGCAGAGCTAGGAAACTGTGCAATGTTATTGCAGGCCCCTTGGGCACACACATTACGATGCAAGCCCTAATTACCTCATCACACAATATTTTTTTTCCACATCACTCTGCCAATGCAGAGAACAAAGAGAGCTTGAGGGTAAAATATAAATGTAGTAAAGGAAATTTGGTTTCCCTCATCTGCTGCAGAAATTGGAAGGAGCTCTCTGAGTAAGGTTGGGGACTGCAACATGAGAAGGCAGTTTCATGGTTAAGGTAGTTGAGTGCTGTCAGGAGAAAGGATAAAACCCTATTCCTGCCAAGGATAAAACCCTATTCCTGCCACAGAATTCACATACGATGTGAGCAAGTCACTTCAAGCTAGCTAAATTGTCGTAAGCATGTATTTCACATTTTCTGGGTGCTCAGCTTAGGACTGTCAGGTGTAGGTTGCCAAAGTGCAGACATTTGTATCCTGTAGTGGAAGTCAGACTTGCAGCCCATTCCTTCTTTTAAAATGCTCAGTGACTGGAATTGTTCATACCACACATCCCAGTCTATAGTTTTCCTTTCCCCTTATGCACTATACTAAAGTTGCTTTTAACAATAAAATTTTCCTCAATGCCTCAATTTCTACATCATCTCCTTTCAAAGCAGTGTTTGGAAAATATGGAAAGTCTCTGAAAAAAAATGGAGCATCCAAAAATGTTCACAAGATACTGTGAATACTGCTGCTTCAAAGCAGTGCTTCAGTCTATGGAATAGTTTGGTTTGGCTTTTAAGAGGCCTTTATGACCGACCAAAGGCTTAAGAACCTGCTGACTAGTCCAGAACAGCAGAGCCCTTAAAGAAGATAAGATAAAAGACAAGACAAAAGATGAGACAAAATACAAGCCTTTACATTGTCAAGCTGGGTTATAATTTACTTGCATATTGGAAATTAGCTAGTTCATACTTAGTCATCATGAGTATTCTTTAGAAATTGTGTATAGAAAAGTTTAAAAAATAGTATTATATTGTCAACCATTATTCATTGTTCCATATGTGCCATCTGCAAGACAGAAACCTACCTTTGACTAGCATTAGTAACATAATTTCGCATTTTACAACAACTTCATCATCTACCCAACAATCATTTGGAATCTGTACAGCCTCTAACATCTCTTATGTTAGCACTTGTACAAATCAATCAAGGTTTTATGAAGAACATGAAGGCACAAATTAAGGTAAAATGGCATGAAATATGAAACTACTCATCAAGAAAGCAGAACAAACTCCGTGATTACTTCAATTCCAGGCATTAGTAAACCAAATTATAGTATGTAGATAAGTGTGAATTCATACAGAAACCCAATCTGTTAAGATTTTGAAGCTAACCTAACTCTGCTTGCAGGCAGCTAATGAAGAAGAAACCAAAATATGTGCCCTGTATCACATAGACTGTACATTGCCAAAGTACTCACCACACTTCTACCTGGCAAAAAGCCAGTATGATCACTAAATAACCTGGAGTACAACTTATGAAACACCTCTTGTATTACACTGCACAACACCGGCAAAGCCCCAGCAATTCCACAACTGGCTGGTATCCAAGAGGAGTCATGCAGCAGGAAAAGAAGGGGCTACCCAGCCTGGTCTCCTGTGCACAGTAGCATGTACTGGCCTCTTTCGACCCACTTTGCTTCCAGCCCAACCTCCAGCTGCCTTTTGCTGCCTGTTTCTGGTCATTTCACTAACGGGGGGTAAGAAAATGTGTAAAACAGTGGGAGACTGAGCAAAGATTTCGTGCCTAGATTGCCTTTACAGGGGAAACTGGAAGCTGGTTTCAGGACCAGACTCACTCTGAATGTGGCTTTGTAGTGAGAGAGGACATAATCTTAAGTATGAAGGACCTCATGCAAAAACAGGTCCAGCAGCTTTGTCCATTATATACGCCTAGAAAGGCTGTTCAGCCCTACAGTTACTTGCAGAAGCTGGAAATTCCCAGCAAACTGTGGCAAGCTTTGCCCAGGAAATTAGAGGAGTCTGGGAGGGAAGGATAGGACCACCAGAGGTAGGCAATGTTGATCTTGATAAAAAAATACCATTAAAAAAATCCTTGCAAGCAAGTTATTTGAGTTCCTGAAGGTATTGATTTTCAAATTGTTGTACAAAACCTGAAATACCTTTGTTCTAGTCTAAAAAAAACCATTTAGAACTGTTTTTTTACATAAGCCAGCTGGCAAAAACTAGCAGTCATGGTTCCATTGCTTTTGGAAATTTTGGAAAAAAGTAAAATCTACAGTATATGTCAACAAGATCTTTCCTGGCACAGGTAGATTTGGCCTATCAACCTTTTTGTATTGATAATACAAGGAGACAAGTTTTCTTTCTGACCTGTTGCCAAAAAGTCTCAACAACTTGGCTTTAAGTAAGTTTCTGAGGGGAAATTCCAGGAAGTTATTCCTGCATACACAAGGTTTTCAAAAAAGGAAAAAATGGGTAAGAACTTGCTACAATCCCAAAGCTAGCAGAAACTATTAAAACCAAGCACTAGCTACAAATACAGATGCCCTAACATCTGTACAGATATATATAGATAGATATCAATTACACTCTTTTTATCATTCCTAGTAATGATGACTTTTCTTCCTTCCATTAACATCAATAGCTTTTCCAATTATTTTTCTTGATTTCATTTTAAGAAAATATATGTGGCCGCTACATTCAGGAATACCAAAAAGACAGCTATTTCTACAGGATATTTATTAGAATTATATCATAGAATTTGGATGATGAAATAAATCTTGCTAGAAGAAAAATTTCCTGAGGTGTAATAAAAATACTAGCACTTAATATTAAAGCTTAGTGCTTGGAGTTCTTATGTAGGACAGAATTTCTATTCAATATAGTCATAACTGTGGACATCAATTTCTTGTCTGAAGAAACATGTATTTTTAAAATGCCAATGAAAAGAAAACAAAGTAGCCAGTTTACACTTTTCCCCTCCTGACAGACAATATGAAAGCCAGTTGCACCTCTTTCCAAAAATTTACACTTGCCAGCAAGGCATCACACATCTATAAAATAGAAGTATTTTTCACTGCATTAGAAACTTCCATGAATGACATAACAAGTAGCACTGCAACAGGAGAAAGGACAGCCTGTCCCTTGTCAGGAATCTGGGCAATTTTCCATTAGATTTTTTCAAGGGAGTTGAGAGAAGAGAAATATCCCAGTCTATTCAAGATAATGCAGCTTTTACATTTTTATATTCTCATATAACAGAATATGACTCAACAGTTCTTCCTTCATTAAGTGACATAAAATCAAGATTAAAAAGTACTCTGTATCTGAAAAAAACCAAGCCAACCCATATTATATAGCAGCAATGCTTTCAGGACATGAAAATTGTCCTGAAATTTCCTCCAAAAGTCCTGAAGAGTCAAAAGCAGTGCCTGAGACAATTTTGTACCCACTTAATGCTGAGTATGTATGCTTTCAGCAGCCCTGCATGCAAATTCATAGAAGACTGATTAGAAGATTAGGATTGTTCAGATAGTGATTTTTATTTATGAGTCTCACCATTTTATAATCAGTACACAAATGCAGTTATATTGCTGGTTTGGACTAATTAATGCCTTCATAGCCAGCTGAACTAGGGGAAACCCAGAAATACTCCATTATTGTTTTCGGAAATACTACTCATTAGCTTTGTTTTAAGTGAGAGTAGCAGTTAGACCTTCTTTTTTCATGTGAAACTACATTAGTGGTATTTTTCTGATTTGAGGCACAATAGATACCAAATAGCTCAAAAAATGTTATTTTCTCCACTTGTTTTCACAAGAAAAATTATTCATTTGGTCCACTCAAAACATCACTTCCATAGCTGATATGTAATCATTTCTATTTGCCATTTCTGCTGGTACATAGAGATAGTGTCAGTGAGATTAGGGGAGATGTAGTATCTGCACATACCTTCTGTCTGTAGGATACAGCTCCACAGTAATGACATCTAGAGAGTTCCACGCTGAGATGGTGAGGCCGTTGTAGAGGCACAACATACCTATCATCATGGATTCACTGGTCCCAAACCACAGGAAAAAACAGCTGATGCCAGAAAGAACCATGGAACCACCTGGGTACAAGGCAGGTGAAACAAACATGAAGTGGAAATATTTTTAAAGAATAATCTTTGTGCTGTATAATGTTTCTATACACACAGTGTAGCTAAATAAGTGCTGCAAATATCTGAGTTAAAAACTAAAGAGATTTCCTCTGCTGGTAAGAGCAGTCAGGAAGACAAATGCTATACGAGCCCATAAAACAAAACATAGCTCCTCAAAAATTAGGATATGTCATAAAGTATTAAGCTGGAACCCTCTATGAACTCCCAAAGCAAGCTGCTTGGGGAAGGTCCCCATTCTTCTTTGTTCATCATCTTTGCAATTACATGAAACTTGTTCATATATTATAGCAATAAAAACACTGACTGGGAATTGTATTTATATAGAGACAGTCTCCTGGAAAATGAATACAATGAACTATAACATAGTTATTTAAGTAAATTGAAAACAGATTTCTCATTGCAGGCAATCCACTGGAGATATCTTTCAACTGTATTCCTCTGCAAAACAGATGACAAAGAACTGCTGACACTTCCAAGGATCTGCTCTGCTAGCTGACTGTCACATATGCACACCTTGCTTTCCTTTCAGCTGGAGCAAAGATAAACCCAATGGTCATCACTCTCCAAAATCTCATTCTAAATAAGACCATTCTATGTAATGTTCTTGTAATATCAGCGTGGAAGAGCAATGACTGCTAATGTGGCATAGCAGAGATGGCCACAGAACCTTTTTTTCCTAGTGTTTCTTAACTGGGGGCTTTTAAAAACAGCACTTATGATGCCACATAATGAAGTATCTGCAGAAGGAATGTTTTGCATTTCTCTGAGCCAAATTCCTTGAAAAGAGAACATGCTACTTTCGATTTTCTTCCGGGTTTCAAAGTGAAGCCCCTACCTAACATCGTTAACCGTCCTATTCTATCCATCAGGAGAGCGGACACAATATTCCCTGGTAACACTGCCAAAGTTCCCAGGAAATTAACAAAGTAGATCCAGTAGGCACTGTAGTCGTCATCAAAAGAAATCTGGCATCCTGTCCTGATGTGAAAAAATGTGCAATTTATCAGTTCACTGTCAACAAATTTATACTGCTCGAGATCTGTGGAAAGAAGAAAAAGAAACATTTCAGCTAGCAGCCAACTCCATGTGCAGCTTTTGATTAAAAACATTTCAAGTTCAAGCAACTTTAATGACAGCTTTGAGGTTTCACTGCTTTGTAAGAGGGGACTAGTTACTGCTGTTAATTTTTATAGCTTTTTATCTTACTAGAAAGATTTGCAAAGCTCATGGAAAAGAGCAACTAAAGCCTGGAATTAGAGGGTTATATTGTATTTTAGCCCCGTTTGGAGTGTATTTGGTTAAGGCCTTTCAGCACCAGCTTGTCTTCCATAAAAAACACTGGGTATCTGCAAATTTCTATGAGTCAGTCTTGCTCATCTTCAGACCTTCTCTTTCCACATCAAACAGCCTTTTGGATGAGACTGCCAATTGTGTTCAGCATGGTTTGACTTTCTTTAAGTGAAATACTCCTACAGACTTTAGTTCAAACTTATTTTTATTTCTGAGAAGGCCTAATGGTCCCAAGGTTGCCCAGGGATGAGTTACTTTATGAAGGTCATTCTTCTACCAATACCATTTCAGAGATCTCTCCCTATACTTCTACTTTTTCTTTCTCCTATCAGCCTTGTAAACCTGAATTAAGAATATCTTCCTTCCACACAAAGAAATCTGGGCATTGTTTGTTCTGAAACCTACTGTACTGTTATGATTGCGGTAGAGCTGGAAAAGCAGTAAGAAGCGTCCCATGTTTCCAACAAGCTTAGCTGGCCATGTTCTGTTTCAGTTATGCTTTAATAAACCGGAAAAAAAGAGTCTTCTGTTTCCACATATGAAAATACAGATTCATGTCTTTGTTACAACATTCAGGAGAGTGGGAATAATTATAGATTAGGTACTTTGAATCCTGAACTCAGATTCCCCTGCCACAGCAAGCACAATAAACAAAGTATTTCACCGGTCCCATCAGCTACCAGTAAAGCAGTAAACATATTTTTTCTCTCCAAACTGAATCTCTTTAGGGATGACTGAAATCAAAGAGATGTTTATTATCTGAGTCAATATTAAGTCTGTGGTATCTCTTTTGCAGTGTGATCCTTTCACTTCTCTGTTGTAACACTATGAGATTCTGTTGTTTTTTTATAGATTTTTATTTCCTACAAGAGGACTTCCTGTATGCCTTCTTAGAAATCCAGAAATTATAAATGTAAGAAGAGAACATGCAGCTGAGCAATGGGCATTTGGGCTTTTTCTCACAATACCTGTGTTGTAGAAGGTGGTATTCACAAAAGTACAGTTCCTGAAGTATGTGTTCAGTGAAGTAATGTCTTCAAACACACAGTTCTTAAAAAGCGAATCTTCAAACGTTACCGATTTAAACTTCATCATAATAAACCTGCCCAATATAAATAATTCCTGTCAGTCTACCTTCATAGTTTAGAAGGAGCAACAGACCAAGATGATGCAGCTATTTAGTTCTAAAAAATCTCAACCCCAGTAAAAATGATTCCTTAGATGCATTTTGCAGATATTATTAATGATTAGCTCATTCTAGAATACTACTGTTTAGAAAAAGAACTAATAAAACAAATTGTTCCACAGAGTTACAGGCCCTAACTGGTAATATAATTTCTTTGATAATATTTCTGTTCTTGTCCTTAATCATCAACAGAAACCGATGTCATGACATTGATGGAATAGCCTTGTAAAATCACTATTGTTTTCAATTTGACATTACAGCTGGAAATCAGGAGATGCTTCGGAAACTCAGTCCCTTGGACTAAGCAAGCACCTGCTAATACCAAAAAGCTGAAAAGAAAGAATTTTTCAAAGAATGTTTATTTCTCCAGATGAACGCACCAGTTACCATGTTAAGATCAAATGCAAAACATACTGGTCTAAGTTTTTAAAAATGCTTTTGCAAAATGGTTAAAATAAAACATGAATAAAAATTTACATTGCCAGTTTTACAACTAGATAACTAATTGTAAGTATGTCTTCATTACTCCTGTGCCTGGGGATGCATTTACAATTACCATGCACATAAAACAGGTGTAAATGATTTGTTGGTGACTTTATTTCTGAACATTCTCCTTCCTACTCACTCTCATCTAACACATAGTTCTTTGATCATGACCATCAATCAAGACATTAATAAAAGAAATCAATGACAAAATATATTACAGTAACTTTCTACCTAGATGTCATTACACTAAAACAGTGCTGTAAGACTTTTCTAGTAAAAACCACATCATCATGCTGACAACAAGAAGATATAGAAATACATCGGTATTTTTGTGATGTCTTTTATTTCACATGAAGGTGTGCAAAACGGGCAGTTTTGGTGGCACTCTTCACGTAAAGTGGCAACAGTTTGAAAAGCAGAGCTTTAATTGTTATACGGCAGGAAGAACTGTTGAAAGGCAGACCTGGCTCTGCTTTAATAAGACCTGGTGTGATTAGCGAAGTATCTGTATTATTACAGGAGTTACAGTAGGAATAGCAACATAAAGAATATATGCTACCAACAAAGCAGTGGGAATTAAAATCTCATGAATAAAGTTGTTGAAATTACACCTTTATGAGAAAGGAGAGAAAAAGCTAACAGTTTTTATTACAGTAAGCAACTTATTAACTAATGTATTTTCTTTTTGCATTGGTCAGAACAATGGTGTTTTCAGTCCATTAGATTTAGTTACTATATCATTTCTCATTTTGACAGACTGATTAAAATCAGGCTAGAGTTCAGTGTCAGCTCATTATCATTTTTCATATAGCTTTTTCCATTCAAATTTGTAAACTAATTTCAGACGAGAACAAAAAATAAATTAGTGATTAGATTAGTCAGTTGGAACAGAAATTACAGACTACATGTTCTCCTAATGCGTTTTTTACCTGTGGACAGGAAGCACGTGACTAAATTAAAATCGGTGTTGTGATGATTTGAATTAAAACCCAACAAGAACGCAATGTAGTAAATTGTCAAGTAATAGTCAAGATGGATTTTCTAGTTAACAAAGAACACGAAAGGAACACTGAGAATGAGGGTGAGTAAAGTACTGAAACATATGGGAAGGAAGGGTATCAAATGAGTTCATAGTTCCTAGAAAATGCTTTGTCAATCTCAAATAACTGTCAGAAGCATATTAAAATTGCACATTTGGAAAAGTAAATTAGTGACTTAGCATAGATTTATGTTATATTTAGTATTTTACTAGAATATTCTGTTTAAGTTGATAAATAGCTGCTATTTTTTCTGCAATGCAGAAACCTTTAACTGTGTCAAAACTCAAGTTCTTATAAAAACAATAACAATAATAATAATAATGGATTACAAAATCAATAATTTTATTCATTTAGGTATAGATTTTCCTGTGGAAATAATAATTACTTCTCACCATGACTTCCAGAAGACCATTCACATGGTTGTTCTGTATATTTCTTAATAGAAACCAGATACTTAAAACAGCTGTGTTTAATTTTCCCCCAAGTTATCTCATTATCTGTCAAGTCCAGATAAAGCCTTAATATATTTGGCTTCAGCTAAAAAAATCACAAAAGGCACTGCCAGAGTGTTGTTTCCCATTTCAGAGCTGTTCATGCTTTCTATTGGTTTACAGTAATGTTTAGCTTTCATTTTTCTGTGATAAGGTCCCAACCTCTCAATGTTCAGGATTTTCACAGAAGCATCTTTTATCAATATAAAAAAGAATCAGCAACAGAGATGAAAGCATATCCTCCCCCAGACCTCTACAATATGCTGCATATGTTGGATCTGAAAACCTTTGAATCCCACTGTGAAAGGAAGTACCATTGACTTAGGCTTTTTGGTCTGGTTTTCAGTATGACAAGGAAGCTGGTTTTGCATGGGGGATCCTCACACAGGAACCATGTACGGGGTCCATTCCTCCCCATTCTCATGAACCATAAGAAATCAAGAACAGAAATAAATTCTCACTAAAAAAGCAACAAAAACACTATGTATCATTACCTAAAGCCTAAAGTGAAAAAAAGTAAAAATTGTGATTAGGATGTGCTTTAAAATATGCATCCATTTATTCCAGTTAAGCCAGGGTGTAAGGAAATCTCTAAACCTGTCATTGATGTATTCTCCATTGCTGTGAATCTGATTTTCCAATGTGAAGTTGAAGACGAAATGTGAAACCTCCTCATTGCGGAAGTGTTTGACTCGGGATGCATACTCATCCGACTGCAGATGTTTAATGACATCAGGAAACCAGACAGATAAGCCATAGTAGCTGTGAAAAACAGAAAAACATCAGGCACCAATCCCACTCGTTCAGAAATCACACCAGAAGATGCCAGTTTTCTGAAGCAGATATTTCTGAGCCAGGCTTGCAACCAAGAATAGACTAACTGACAAATATAACATTTTGTGGAAAGACTTTAAATAAAACAGAAAATCATAGTAACAGAAATCTATATGCAGATGACTCTTTTGTCTGTCAAGAATATCAAAAATGGTTTAAGGTCAACCACTCTTACCCAAAAGACAGGGTGAACCATACAGCTGTAAGTTTGATCGTATTATCCTTCACTGGGTAGTTGAAGCATCTCATAAACGTCAACCAAATCTGTAAATCATTAGGAAACACATTTATTTACATCTTTTTTTGAACAATTTTCTTAAATCAGAGAAGCTTTTTTTTCTGATTTGCTTGCCTCTTCAGGGCAGGAGAGAGACCAGATTAGATCTTTGGCCACACTTATTTTTGATGCAAGCCAGGATATGATTCACTTTCTCAGCTGCAAGCACATGTTGCAGGTTCATGTCAATTTTGTTGTAACCAGTGTGCACTGTGCCCATTAATTCACCCTGCTCTGATCACCTCAAACTTTCCTGATGTGTAGACAGCTTCTTTTCACTATCTCAAATAAAAGATCTTCTCAGAAATGTTTTCTTCTCACTTCCCAGTATTACAGTACTTTAAATTTAGGCAAAGGATATTTTATGATTCAACAGTGATACAATCAGGGTTTGATCTGTCATAACCTACCATGGCTAGAAACTGATACCTGAACTATATGAGGAAAATGTGAGACTACCCCCAGATCAGAGGCACTATAGCAGGGCTGACTGAGAATGATGTTCTCATTTCTCTACCTCAAGATGATCATCTTTAAAAAAAGAGAACAGACAGACTGTTATAAGAGGTCCCAACATGCCTCATGCAATAAGGAAAGTGCTCTGACTGAGGGTCTACTTTGTGAGATAACAAGAATGTGAGACAATGAAGCTGCAACTCCTTTAAAGCTGGTTTAGCAACATAATATTTCAGTCTCCAGCTACTCCATTTTTGGTCAGTAACTATAAAAGTAGACACTTGTCCAAATTTTTTTTTCTTTCCATAGGGAAAATATGACTTGTCCTAGCAAAATAATTTTGTGACAAACCTTAGTTTGCAACACTTCATCGTAGTTCTGGAGTACTTTAAGATGTCAGATTTTTAACAGCTGTGAAAAAAAATTTTTGAATTTTTTTTTAAAATTAATTAGTGAGCTAATTTTTTGATTTTCATTACAAGATTGAAAGATATAATATAACTTTGGTTCTACAAAAAAAAGTAACAAAAGTATAAGGAGCGCAGTCCCAGCAAGTTTGAAGTCTGAAATATCTCTAAGATAGTTTTGATATGTTAGATATATATATATGTGTGTGTGTGTGTGTGTGTGTATATATATATAAAATACCATAGTTTCTGGTAAAACATTTGACATAATAGATACAATGCCTTCTTATAAAGGTGTTACTGACATACATTTACAAACTTCATTCACGAATTTGCCATTTGTAATTAATGTGGCTGTCTCAAGTTCTTCCTCATAATTTTTCGTCTCATCATTTGTAACCTACTTTCACAGGTATATACTGATATGTGTTCCCACTACATATTTATTTTGGGGTGCTTCTGAATGCGACTATGTAATTATTAGCTATCAGTTGTGAAAGGACCAAGGCAGCATTTTCCTCCTCAGAAGCTGAGACCAACCCCTGCGATTCACCTGCATCTTTTCTGGGTCAGGAAACCAAAACCTTACACTGGTTCCTGAATGTCTCAGTTGCATGGAAAGTGGAGCATTACAGGTATCAACAGCATGAGCTCAGTGAATCCTTCCCACTTCAGAAAGCTAATTAAAAAGAAGAAAGGTAATGTGAACAGAGATGTTGTTACTTACACCATACAGCTCTGTGCGGATTCTTACAAAACACCTCCTGTACCAAGTTCCAGTATCACTCTCTATTTCTATGAGCTCATCTATCTGCTTTGGTGTTTTGATTCTGGTAACCTAGAATAAAAACAAAACACAAATATTTTTATTTTCTTGAATCATTAACAGCCTATATAGGCTTTATTAAATCCCATCTCCTGAAAATGAGCAGATATTAAACCTGTGTCTACACAATAAATGCTTTAAATATATAAAGGAATAGTAGCACACTGTAATGACAAAGGTCATTATGAATGCAATTGTATTTGAAAAGCTCTGCTTTCAAAGCATGTAGGAAATAAATTTCCTCTTTCTACAATAAGCTATTGTTGTCAGACTCTTCTAGAGTGTTGCTGTATATCCCCCTAATGGCACAAAGTTTAAAACATGATTTAAACCATCAAACATTTAAGTATGTTTAGAGTTTGCTATCAAATTGTTTCTGACATGCTATCACAACGTTGCTGCAAATCTACTGTCTAAAGAAAGAGCAATTAAAAGAGAAGTATTCAGAATGCCCTGAATTAACTGTTGAAAAACTGTTTTAATTTGTTCTTATTTTGTGTAGTGTTAAACAGAGAACTTAATGAAGAGAGAAAAAGTGAGGTGAAATGATGTGGAACCACACGTTATTGCTGTTATGAACAATCATCTACTTCATCAAAAGTGAAATAAGATAAACAGGTATCAGAGAAAAATACAGAATCACCAGTGACGGAGAATATGATGTTGCTTATAATGGTAATTTTCACTTGCACTCCCTTGGATAGCAGAACAAGAATGTGTTACGTGGTCTTTCCAGACACAGGACCTGACAAACTTATACTATTGTATGGTTCTGGTTTTGGCTTCTGCTCTGGTCCCAGCTTAATAGTGATATCACAAAAGGCAGTGTATTCATCCACAGTTAAGTTCAAAAGAAGGCAAATAGAGATTGGAAAGAAAAATATTAAAATGAGGAGAGGGACTGACATAGAAGGAAGGAAGGAAAGACCAAGAGACTGCCTGTTCAATGTTTGGCTGCAGTTTCTGAAGGTAGCCATAGCTTGTGTTTCTTCCTAACAGAATGAGGACACCCCTCCCCCTCAACCTCCTAGTGTATCATAGTGGATTACAGGACATTGGGGAATAGCAATATTGATGGTAAAGCTCTAGTTTTGAGCCCACCGCTTTTACAGATGCACCAGCAGCCTCTCCCATGAAGAAGAACAAAGAAAAGCCCACTAAACAGTTTTAGCTACAACCACCCTCATTTCTGAAGTACTACAGCCCACTGTCTTGCCAGATGATGATTTTATCAAAAGCCTGTAATCTTCTTGTCATGTCTCTTCCAATAATCCTGTCCACATCATTCCATTGATTTTAAGCTTTTCTTAACTGCTTTTAAGAAATGTGTTATACAAAAGACTGAGTTGAGTCCTCTAAGATTATCTGAGATCTCCTACATGCAGAAATCCTTACATGCCACACCTTTGAGCAGAAAGGGCATGACGTTTGAATCACACTGTGTAAACCGGTACCACTCCTGTAGGCCCAGGGACAGCCTTTTCGTTATATTGCCACCTGACCCGTTTGGAGACATGGGGAGTGGGGGACCATGTATATCCTAGGACCACTGAATGTGACTGGCCCAATGGTTCTTTAATGTATGAAAAGTCCTATTGAATCAGGACAATATTCGATCGGGACCATGCAAATTCAACCGCCAGTATATGAAGAATGAAAGAAAAAAACCAATAAAGAATACCTATTTTAATGAAAAGAACACTTTTGTTCAAAAGGAATGACTAGAAATATGCAATGTTCTAAATTTCACAAAATCAAAACTTGCTTCATAGGAAAATATTGCAAGAAAAAAAATTAATAATACATGGTAATGAAAGAGCAGAGAAAATTTTGGTTTTAAGGATACAGTTTTGGGGTCTTTTTATTATTTAAATCAAGAGATCTAAGGAATATATATTTTAAGAACTCAGGAAGTTAATTAAGCACATATATAAACATTTAACTTGGGTAGTGCCATGATAGAAGATACTGTCAATTTATTACCACCTCTGTTAGTATCACTGCTTTCAGAAGAGATTCTCAAAAGTATGAATGGCCATCAACTCAATCAATTCCGTAACCAGAATTCCATTTTGAGGTTTCTAACTCCATAATTGACTGTTTGTCAGTGCATGACTTCTCTTTCTAAAGGTTTGAAGATAATCCCTTCCATAATGTGAGTAACAAGACTAAACATGACTCGTGAGAAAAAGCTTCTAGAAAAAGAGTAAGTCAATATAATAGAGGAAAATATATAAAAGGAAATCACACTAAAACCATAGGAGTAATAAAAGAAAAGTTACATCATCTGTAGGATTAGAAAACATACTATCAAAGTGTGTCTGATGTCACTAGCAATATGAAGTGGAGGAAAATAGTAGAGCCTAAGTCATCGAATGGTATTGAATAAGCAAAGAGATTTGGGAGAGGTATGTGAATAAATTACTGAGATAAAATGTAACAATATCTAGGACTAACTTAAAAAAAAAGAAGATACTAAAAGGATGTGTCAAACAAATTATGTGTAAGTTCTTTGCTTTCTGAGTTTTACAAGATAAAGTACTGATGTTGTATAATATAGAATTGCATTTTCTAATCATACTAACTCAAGCTAAAAATAGGGAGCTCTATATATGTCTAACCTTGACATACAATACAGTATTTCTAATCTTTCAACTCCTTGATGTCTGGAATTGAGTTTTCCTAATGTTCAAGACGGAAACTGGCAAAATTAGTGGCTGACCAATTAACAAAACTAACTATAAATAAAGTGGTTCAGTCTCTCATTTTAACAATTGTAGAAAGAGACTTGTTAATTCACAGGAACTGGAAACAACACGCATGTGCTTTGTTTTCATCTCCACAGCTTCTTTAGGATGTGATTACAATTACGTCAAAGTGACGTGAGAGACTTATCCTTCCTCCCACATTTTCTCCCAGCACATTTCTGCTTTTTACTTGTGCCTAAGCCAGCACTGAAGGGGCACAGGGTCTGTGCTATGGCTGACTGTGCAATCAGCCAATGAATATCAATAAGAGTAGAAAAAACCCCCAGAGTTACCAGGAGCAGGCGTATTGTCTGAAAGCAGCTCAGATCACCAAGAGCCAATTGTGAAATTACACCCTAGCTGTATGGTGTTAGGTAAATCCCTTTACTCATGAATTAAATCAGAAAATAAAATATTAAGCTAGATGGGATTAGGAGTAGGTCACTGGTGTACCAATAAAGGTGGTTCAAACATGATAAGTGTGCTAGCCAGCCTTCTTTCAAGCTAAATATAGGAATTCCTGAGCTTCTTTGTGGAAAAATTTAAATGGAAGCAAAGGAAACTGCATCCAGAAGAACAAACTGCAAGTCTCAATGGAATAAAGTTATACAGTCAGAGGGTCATTCCTCAAGACTGCCTGCAAATGCAGAAGCTTTATGAGGATTTCTTAATTGAGTCATATGTGCATTATAGTGAGAAGAAAGCCTCTGGAAGAGGAAGGGTATCCCACACATGGCTCTGAGAGAGAGCTGAGTGCCTATACTGCCACAGCACAGCACAGGCTGGAAAGGCAGACTGGATTTCAAAGCAAGGAGGTGCTGTGTGGTCCTACTGTATCCAAGAAGACAAGATTGTTGCGTACAGTCTTTATGAAGATGCCATAAAAAAGTCCCATTTCTTAATTGCCAATTTCTCCTTCAATTGAAACAACATATCAATACTTTAAAAAGGGCCTTAGCATTAGACCTCAAAAAGATGCAACCGCGCTTCCAAGACATTTTGAGAATATTAAATATCTAAAATTATTACATCATAGAAGTGAAAATGCATTTTAAAAATTATTGGTTTACCTGATAAAAAGAGGAAAATAATCCAAAGCTTGTAAGACACAAGAGCTAACTAATTCAGACTTCTGTGTGGCTACTGTTATTACTTAAGGGCAAAGTAATCTTGCTAAATAAAACATAGATGGAATCTTCCTACACCAGATTAAATTATCACACTGTGTGTTCATATACCCAAGAATATGCTGGCCAAAGGCTGATACCTTAACATTTATTGTATATGCAATAATTTCTGTAGGAATTCACAACACCTTATATTTAGGTATTTAGAATGCAAATAATTGGCTTTACCATGCAGAGTGTTAATACTGATTTCTGAAGCCCTCCAGACCTTGACAGTCAGAGGGCTTGCTGATGTGTTAGGTAATTAGCTTTAAAAAAGCAATACTCACTGTGAAGACTTTCTCAGGCTGACCACGAGCACGCATGTTTGTGTCATGAATTTGCTTTAGTATCATCCAAGCTTCATCATGTTTTCCAACCTAAATGTTAGACCAAAATGTAAGTGCAACATATATATAAATTAAGACACTCACTATAGTTCCTGGACAATCTAAATGCCTGTTAGGTAGAGGTTATGATGTAAATACAGAAATAATTTTGACTGGAATCTAAAAACCATTTGGAAAGTTATACCTCCAGCAGGAACCGTGGGCTTTCTGGCATAAAGGTCAGGGCAACCACAGAAGAGACACAGGGCAGTGCACAGACGATCACAAATACTCGCCAGCTGTGGAACTGGTAGGCTGAGCCCATGCTGAAACTCCATCCTGTGGAACAAGAAATTCACAATATGTAGAGAAATAAGGAGTATTATACTTGTTACACTGCAGCTTCTTGGAGACACGTAATGATACCTATATTTAAATGAAGCCTGATTGATATATTTCCACAAATATTGATCATCTAACAAATAATCTTGCACTATGAATTTCAGCCTCTTGCATATGACTAGTCATGCTGGAAAACAGCAGTGTTATGCAGGGTGAGAGACTTCCTTACGCAGGGATGAACTCCAACTGTCTTAGCAAAATCTATATGAAGGTAGTTATGTGAATCAAACAGGGACATCATCATCATCATCATGCATAAGAATGCACATACAAAGAAATAGTTTTCTATGAAGACTGGAAGAACGGAGACTTAAAAATCTACACTCAAATTACGTATTCTATGGAAATGCATATCTTTCCTTATTATTAACCTTTTCTACAGAATTAATTTCAATACTTTTAATAGCAGTTTCCTGTGTGAAACTGGAAGGCTGATGGTTCAGCTTTTTAATAAAATATCTGACTGTTCAGTATATTATAACTGGACTGTTAAAAGGCTATAATTGTAAGAAACCCAAGAATTCACTTTAAGAGAGAGAAAAATATTATTTGTGTAACTACCTGGCCCTTTATTCTGGCTGCAGTACAGCAGAAATTTTCAAGTAAAAATTTCAAGGATAACTTATTAAAAGATAAGTGGATGATAAAAATAATGGTAAAGTACAGAAGAGGTTATTGGAAGAAAATAGAATCCTGGCTAATGAAAGAGCTGATGCTGCATTAATCTGATATATTTCTTTGCTGACTGATTTTTCTAGACAAAAGACATAGTTAATCGTATCTGTTTGAACACTGGTAAACAACTGCTTCGACATGGTACCAAACGGTCTACTAAATAGTTCTTCAAGGTATTATTTATCTGTGAAATGTAAAGTACATTTTAGAATACAAAAATCCTATGCTGTGAACCATAAACATATTGTTGGGAAAAAAATTTGTTTCTCACAACAAAGTTATTACATTTTACCATATGAAAAACACAGTCAATCCATGATTTATTTATATGTTCTTTATCAACACTTCCATGAAACATTTTCATCAGCAGACCAGGTTTTTTTTTCTAGTCTACAATAAACTTTCTGCATTTCTGAAATTATATCAGCTTGGTCTAGAGCCTCATTTAGCACTGCCATCTTCACCCCAGGAATAAAAGGGTAAAATCAATAACAGTGTTGGCAATGATCTTGTATCCCATATTACTTTTTTTTAAGTAAGGCTTAAAAAGACATACCTTACCCCTCCAAATTTTCCTCCAACAAGTCAAGGTTGTCTAAAATTGAATGTTAAATTTTATTCCAAACTAGAACTTGAAATTCATATTTGAGGATAAACTTTTTTTTTTCCTTTCTCTCTTTTTTTTTTTTTTTTTTTTTTTTTTTTTTTTTTTTTTTTTTTTTTTTTTTTTTTTTTTTTTTTTTTTTTTTTTTTTTTTTTTTTTTTTTTTTTTTTTTTTTTTTTTTTTTTTTTTTTTTTTTTTTTTTTTTAAGAAAAGGTGTAAAAGTGTCCTAAAATTTACTCTTCATTGATTTTTGGATACTGTCAATTTTTGATCTTATGGAATTTCAAGTCTTAAATAATAAGGGCATACTTTATATCTGAATTGTTAAGGGAATTAAATAAAGAAGGAAAGGTTTACAGTGAGTTAATGAGGCAAGTAGGAACCATTTCTGTGTTTTGGGTATTGCATACACATTTTATTCTAATAACTAGAATCATATTCTTAATTACATAATTGAAAATACAGAACAAACTCCCTTGATGAAGAATTTGCACACTGATTTCCTTCTGGTGAAGGTAATGTTTGGTCAGAGCAGTGAGCTGAGCTGACTCTCTGGGCAGCTGTGCAACTGCCAGTGCTGCAGGGAAGGCAGCACAGGATGGGGGTTTTCATCTCTCAGAAGTTTCAGTATCGGTCAAAGTACTGGCATTTGTTGTTATTAGAAACTGTTCCAGAAACACACAGAGACACTAGTATAGTTAGGCAATCTGCCTTTCATTGCCCTAGTTTAGGTTTTATGAGATTGATCTGTACAAAGGGCACTTTGCAGTAAATGAAATCAACCTGGCTTTATACCTCTAATAAAGCAACCGCAATATCTTATGCTTTGTAGCCAGTCCTGGAAAATGCTGGTGGTAACTTATTTTTAGGTGTAAACAAACCATACTACATTTAATTAAAAGCAATGAGTGCACTGTTCAACCTGCTGTCATCCTGTCAACCTACAAAACATCTTTTTAGCTCCTCAAAGTATCTGAGGGATATGTCAAGTGAAAGGTTCATTACAGTTTTTACTGCTCTTATTCCATGGTTTTTTTAATGTACTGTATAAGTTGCTGCGATTTATCTTGTAATTTAATATATCTGATGAATTAACAATAAAAGGGAATGTCAGGATTATATGAAGAAATTTCTAGAAAAAAAAGCAAGCAATAACACAGCCTTCTTGAGGCTGCTCCTCCCATCTATTCCCGCACCAGCACTAGATCAGCAAACATATATTTCAAATGCAGGGCAAGTTTAGATTAATTCTTATGTTTAATACATTCTTTTTTTTTTTCCCCAGGTCATGAGCTAATCTGGAAAATGGACCCATTAGAGTAGCTCTGAATTTAGCTCACAAAGTGGCTTTCATTTCCAGTGTGTGTAAGTCTTGAAACTAAATGGAAGTGTGTTCTTGGCTGTAACTCAATTCTCCTTTCCCTGATTTATTACACAAGAGCAAAGACACAGCAGCTCTACATGGTTGCATTCAGTGCACTGCTCAGCCTTGCTCCCTGGTTATGCTGTACTTGAGTCAATAATCTTGAAAATGGAGGCGAGTTCCAATGTTTTATGAATTGCAAAACACTTGGCCCAAATGCATCTTGGGGATAATGTACTGTAGAGTAACCCAAAACCTGCAATGACTGAATCTGAAGCTGCTGCAAGAACCTTTCTGCTGAATATCACCCTCCTGCTTTCCTGGCTGCCAGAAAAGGCCAGGTGAATCACAGACTTGGCAATTACTGATTGCAGAAACACAGGAGCACACAGCAAAGAAGAAACAAAATGTACAAAATGTTAACCTATACATCATCACCAATTTATAAGTTGCATTCAATGTCAACAAAATCTTCTCTCTCCAACATGGCATTTCATCTACTCCATTATATTACTATATTAAAATAATATTATAAAGTTCTTGCTACAAAGGACAGAAAAGAACACTTATCTCATAGACTTTCTGAATATATAGAGATGTAAACCTGTCCACATCAGGATGAGTTTTATAAATGTATAACGCTTGATGAACAGCAAGTATCTTCAAGCACAAGAAGCATCCTCTACAATAGGTAAGTTACTAGAGAGCAGATTTATGGCAATTATTTGCTTCACTTTCCAAAATAAGGGCTGAAAAGAAACACGACAGATCTCCACAAATTCGTACATGTTACACTAAAGTGCAATGTGGTCAATGAAAAATATGGGTGCCTACAGGTTCTATAAATACTGGCCAGCAAAGAGACTGGTTTATAAATACCAGAGGAATAAAATTGTGAACACCTTTCTAAGACATCAAAGTTGGCAAAGAAAGTCCAATCAAATACTGGGATTTTATAACATGGTTGGATAAAGACTAAACATTGTGACAATTTTTGTTAGTCATTCAATAGGAATAAGAGAAAATTGTTTCATGGCAATTTCAGAAATTTTCAAAAGCCAAATTTTCATTAATTTCTGTCTTTTAGTAGGTCAAAGAAGAGAGTAGATGCAGGAATAAACCTAAAAATTAAGGATGAAATAGAAAGATAATGAAGGAATTTATACAAATTCATAAACTCGATAGATTCTTCCGAAGAATCCTTAATATGACTTTATAGATTTTTTATTTCTGTTCTACAACAAATTCTGTGGTCAGAAGTCAGCTTTCTGACCTCCATTTTTAATGTTTTTGTTTGAAACATTTCCAGTACCTAAAAAGCGTGATTGCTCTAAATTGCCACTTGGTGGCACTGTTACCGCACTTAATACAAAAAATGCTTAAAAAATGTTCGCAGGAAGACTTTACCATCAAATGTTGTTGAGTATTCCCCAAATCTAATCTAAATCAAAATTATAAGGAGGAAAGAAAATATTCTGAAGCTTGCAGCACGTGATTATTTTAATATTGCATTTATTTAGTCTGTCCTGGCAGTAACCGTGTAACCGTGAGAGTCACATAGGATTTGAGCCCATGTATGTTTCAGTGCTACTTATCAGAATAATGGTAAAACATCATTGAAACTTTAAAGAGGAAAAAAAATCAGTAAAGTTATGTAACTGAGGAAGTTCTGTTAGTATTTTTACAAAACTTGATGAAAAACATTGTTTTAAACAATTACAGAAATAATGTTTTCAGAATTATTCTGTGTTGTACTGATGGGAAATTCCAGTAACACAAAGTAGAACACTTGCCTTTCCTGTGATTAAATTATTAATACTACATGGGAAAAGAAGTGTTATTTTTAGCCTATATAGAAAGTTAAATACTCTACAAACCTACTGTCTCAGCAAGTCAGCTGCTGTGAATTTTTGCAAAAGGAATTTGGAAATGAAATAGCTGAAGTGTGACAGGTGACAGGTAACTTAACAAAGGTGCATGGCTCTGTAGCTGACGCTATTAGTCCCTGGGAGCCTTGAGGTTCACCATTTCAATGAAAGAAGAAAGTAAAAGTGTTCAACAGATGCATTTTACAAACAAACCCAGACTTGGTCTACTGACACTTAAAACTGTAATTAAAAGGAATAAGGCATTTTCTAAAGGCACATTTCCTTTGCCAGGAAGGAGTGTCTGTAACCACAGACACTGATCACTTCTCTATGTTGGCACTGACACTTATCCGAAGGCCTGAGATTATCACATCTCTGATCACTCCAGCGACAGAATCTTTCATTCAGATAGTACCCAGGATAGCTG